CACTAACATTTTTACAAATCGAAATAATTTTTTTTTATTATTATTATTATTGATGATGTTGTTTGTTTATCTTTCGTAGACGTCGTAATGATTCCGCCATTTTCGAATCTTCCTTCTGGTATATTTTCTTTTCCAGAACGATTAATTATTATTATTATTAGATATCGATTGAGTTATTTTCCTCTCATCGTTTTTCGATACGAACTTGAGCAAACAATAAAATTTTTTAAAAAAAAAAAATTGTTGAAAACAACAAACGAACAAACAAACGAACAAAACGATGATCGAACGCACGAAAAGAAAAGAAAAACTATTAATCGAATTTGCAAAAGGGAAATTAATTATTATTATTATTATTTATTTATTTATTTCAAGTCGTGTAATAATATTTAAACATGTTTAAAAAAAAAAGAAACACGACGGTAATTTATTAGTATTAGTCGAAGATAACGATAATGATAATGATAATGATAAATTTTAATATCAATTCAACTTTCCATAGATGGTTAAAAAAGAGAAAAAGAAAAATTGATTTCGCGTAATTCGAATTTTAATTTTTTTTAATATTTCCGTGTCGAAGCAAAAAAAAAAAAAAAAAAAAAAAAATGGATGACGATTTATTTGACGAAATGATCGAGTGATGATGAGTGAAATGTCGTGTCAGCATAAAATTACCCCGTTTCCGGTCATCGTAAATCACACGCGTGAGAAAGAAAGGAAAAATTATTTCCTCCTTCCGGAAATTTCGCCTACGTCGGATGTTTTAATTTTTTTTTCCTGGGGAAAGAGGGAACGGGTGGTGGGAGGTGGTAAGGGGGAGAAGGGGAGGGGTTAGCGTAAGATTTTGGTATCGTTTAATATATATATATATATCGATAATCGATAGAAATTTTTTCATTAGGATTCGACGCGTTCGGTTAATTAATTAACACAAATGATTAGGGTAATTAAAAATAATAATAATTTTACCAACCATTTTTGGCAGTTGATTTAAATTATTACCCTACCTTATACCTATAAATACCTTGTAATTTTTTTTTTTTTTTTTTTTTTTAAATTTAATTTAATTTAATTTAATAGTAAAAAAAAAAAAAAAAAAAAAAATCAGACGGCAAAATCGTTTGAATTAAATTTAATAAAAAAATTTTTTTTGGCCAACATATTTGACTCGGAGGCATGTATGTGGCGAACGGACAGATGAGAAATAAATAAATAAATAAATCCGACTTGTAATTTTTTTTATTTTGTGTACCTGGTTAGAGAGAGAGAGAGAGAGAGAGAGAGAGAGAGACAGAATTTATGGCGTAAAAATTAATAAAATTAAAAAATAAATGACTAAAACGTTGTTTTAATTAATAGTTTAAAACAAAAAAATTAAATTTTTTTTATTTTTATTTTTTATTTATTCCGACCGATGATTTAATAATAAAAGTCAAAATAATTTGAAACCCCGCCGCGGTGAAAATCCGGACGGCCACCAAAATAAAAAAAAAAAAAAAAAAAAAAAAAAATGTGAAAAGCAGACGACATTAAATGTTTACAATTTTTTTCGGTTTTGTGTTCATATGTTTTCGTTTAAGAATAGACAAAGATTCATTAAACATTGATTTTTTTTTTTTTTTTTATAACCGGGACAAAAAACTAATCATGGCGACTATTGTTCGATTATTTTTAAATGTAGAAACAAAATAGATTTATAAAAAAAAAAGCAGAAGAAAAAAAAAAAAACAAGAAACCTGAAAACTCTCGGTATCGATCTCTCGACTGCTTCCATAAATAATAAGAAGAAAAACCGTCGTCATTTTTATTTTTTGCTTTTTTTCCGGATGATTTTTTGGCGATTTCACGCGATTAAAACCATAAATAATAATAATAATAATGTAAATTTACGACGGAAATGATAATACGAACGGGTTTTGGGGTGTCGTCCCGAACGGGGGTTTAACAAGTGACGGAATTTACCCTTAATAGGACAGGGATGATTCTGGGGATGTCTGTCGTTTGTTGTGTTTGAAAAATTTAATTTTAACGAAAAAAAAAAAAAAAAAAAAAACGATCATCATTATCATTATCATTATCATGAAATTTAAATTGATTTTTAAAGAAAAGAAAAAAAAGATAAAAAATATGTTTTTCCTTTGTCTCATTGTTATGTGTGTGTGTGTGTGTGTATCCTCAGCTGGATATCATATCCAACCCCTAATTGTGATTATATATTTCCTAGAGTAAATTACCCCATTGTTGTCATGTGTTGTTACGTCTCTTAAACCTTTTGTCTCCACAGGTAAAATGTCGTTTCTCCCTCACGTACCCTCCCCCACCCCCGCACGCACGCACGCACGCACACGTACACGTACAAAAAAAAAGAAAGAAAAAATTGTCTTTTACTTTTACCACCCTCTTCACATTTCGTCGCAACTCCATTCATCCCTTTTTCTTACAGAAATAAACCCGATCCCTACCCCTTTCAACGGTTGACCTTTTTGTAATTTATTTCCCATTTATGATTTGTATTTAAATAATAGTAATAATAATAATAATAATAATAATAATCACCTGTTGTATTTGAATATTAGGGAAAATAAAAGAGAGAGAATAAAATAATAACGTTTCGGGTTTTTTTTTCATTCTGTCGTCTGTCTCGACGACAAAAGAAAAAGAAAAATAAGTAAAATAAATTTACCGTCGGTGAAATTTCAATTTAATTTAAAAAAAAGAAAGAAGGAGAAAAGAAAAGGATCGTAAATTTTGTTTTAATAAGCTTACACTCGAAGGTGTAAAAAGAGAGAGAGAGAGAGAGATTCACGGGTCCTTCCTTATCCGCCTGTTCCTTTTCATCTGATGACAGGATTTTTTTCTTTTCTTTTTTTTTTTTTTTCATTGTGATTCGTTTTAAAAAGGGTTTTATTCTTTTTGACGGGGATAAAAAGGCATGAGAAAAAAGGTTTTTCTTTCAATAGATCGATAAAATATTTTGTGATTCCGATTGATAATGATTTGTTTTTTTTTCGACAGTTTTTATTAATTTTATCACTGTAACGCATCGCCGACATATGTTTCGTTGTTCTTCTCATTTTCGTTTTTTAAATTATTCGAAATTAATTAACGATTAGTAAAATCGCGAATCGATTTTTTCGTTTTTTTTTACAACGCGGAAGAAGAGAAAATTTGACGCCATATATTTCCGTTTGAAATTTTGTATTCGAACGACATCTTTGTAACGGAAAAATGAAACGCAATGAAATATCTCATGTAGCCGACATTGTTGCCAACCGTCAATGGCGTCTATGTAAATAACTCTAACCTCCATTCGTCATATTTTGCAGCTGACTTATGGTTATTATTTGAATTTAGGTTAAATACATATTTGTATTAAAATGAGTTTCGTTTCTAATTTGTTTAAATTCGTAGGGTAAAGTATAATGGATTGTTGTCGTCAGTTAATAATTTGACGGTTGTAGTTTTCCGTTAATTTTTTTTCTTTTTCTTTTTTTTTTGCGTTTCTATCAGAACGTCGTTCGTAACGAATAATCTGAGGCGATTTCACGCATTTCCAACGTCGATAGTGACTAGTTTGTCATCTGAACCCGTGGTTGATAATCCCCTGATGACACATAGCGTTAGAACAGTGATTAGAAATAATTTTCCAAAAGCGAGAGAGCACAAAAGAGTTGTAGTACACGGATGGAAAACAAAATTATCGTCGAAAAGTGGTAGGAGGATGATAATGAGACGAATACTAAAAGGAAAATTTGTTTTAACTCATTAGTCGGTCGTAACCTTATTTCTTTTAGTTATAATTATTATTATTAATGAATGATTTTTAAATTGGATCGAAAACATTTTCATGAGTGTAAGATTTGTGAAACCAGGTGTTTTTCATCAATTGAATCCATTGAGCACCAAGGTTTTTGTTAGTTGAAATGTACACTAAAGAACAATAAAATAAATGTAATTTTTGTTATAAATAGTCGGTTTTCAAAAAAAAATTTGTAAAAAAAAAAAATTAATTCGAATCGAATAAATTTTATAAAAAAATTTTTTTTTTACTCTTGTCGCTTTTCGAAATGTTTAAATAATTGGTTATAAATAAATTATTAAAATACAAAACATTTTATTTAGTTTTTTTTTTTTTTTTATGTATGTATTTTTGGAAATTTTTGGTGAGACACATAATGATGAATTTAATTTATGTAGTGAAATGTGATTATTATTATTAATTCTTAAATGTTGAAATGTGTGATCATATCATCTTGTTTCATAATCATTTTAATACAATGAAATAAACTTGGTTATTTATATTATCGGCATAAGTAGGATGATGTTAATTGAGTTTTCGAATTCACATTTTGGATTTGTATTTCGAAAGTGTTTGTTGGATTCTTTGTGATCTGTTATATAATACATTATTCCTTGTTGTAGAGAAAAAACAGAAAAAGGTTTTTTAATATTTTCACATTTTATTTATTGCAGGAATGAATATAATAATTCTTTGGTAATGGATTGTTATCAAACGATGATTATTAATTTTGGTGTCATGACTTGTATTATCATTAGTATTTGCTTTTTCAACACCAACACTTAGCGATATGATTTTTATTAATCTTTCAATTTTCTATTTTGTGGTGTTTTCCAGATGTTTGTGTATAAAAAAACTTTGATTGCTTTTCATAAAATCCATTTTGATGTTTGTCACTATGTAGTACTACTTTTAAATACGATTGATTTCTTTTGCATCATTTTTTTTGTAATTTTTATCACATTTGTCACAAAGTTCGAAAGAGTAATTGTAATTGTATTGTAAAAAACAAAAAAAAATGAGGCAGTTAAACAAAAAAAATATTTATTATTTTTGTAAACGTAATGTATTACTGTGTAATAAGTTAATTAATACAGAGAGAGATAGAGATAGAGATAGAGTGGGGGGGGGGGTAGAGAAGAATAAAGAAAAGAGGATAAAATAAAAATGGTCTTTTTTTTTTTTTTTTTTTTTTTTGCGTTCACGATTCGGATTTAAGGTATGCAATAATGTCGTCTCTTTCTTCTTTCTTTTTCAAACCCGCGAAAACCATTTTAGTACCGGGTATGTATTTTTTCGGATCCGTCAAATACTCGTCCAAAGTTCGTGCATCCCAAGTAACGTTTTTATTTTTATTCGCATCCGTGTACGCATAACCTTCTGCTTGACCCGTTTTCCTTCCGTAAAGTCCGTACAAATTAGGACCGACTTTATGTTTTCCACCCTTTTCCGCCGTGTGACATTGCGCACATTTCAATAGGAATATTTTTTTACCCTTTTCCGCGCTCATTTTTATTTATTTATTTATTATTATTATTATTTTTAAAAAAAAATTTTTTAACTTTACTTTTTTTTTTTTTTTTTTTTTTTTTTTTACATAAAAACAAAAACCCTAGTTTATGATGAATGTGTGTAAAAAGCACTTGCAATTTTTTAATTTTTCGAATTTTATTTTCTATGATTTTTTTTTTTTTTTTTTTTTTTACGTTATCCAACCGTTAAAAAATTAATAAAAAAAAAAAAAATAATAATCATAATAATAATTTGAATTTGAATTTTTCTAACGGTTTAAAATGGAAAACTAACTGGGTTGTTAAAACTTTTTCTTTTTTTTGTTTTTTTTTTGTTCTTTTGTAAATAATAATAATAATAATTATTATTATTATTATTACCGTGATGATTCGTTGATTAATAATTTGTTGAAAAAAAATAAAAAAGAAATTATTTATAAGTTTTTTGGTTAAATTTAAAAATGGCGGTTAAAATGGATGGGAAAAGAACGGTTTTTTTTAAAATTTATATGTAATTTATTGTTGTTGTGGTTGTTGTTGCTGTTGTTGTGGTTGTTGTGGTAATTGTTGTTGTTGTTGTTGTTGTTGTTGTTCAGGTATTATAAAATTTAATTAAAAGGTAATAAAAAATTTATTTATTATGATAAAACAAACAAAATCATCGTCGTAAAATTTTTTGCAAAAGGCTTCATCTCAATAAATTTTCTTCCTTTTTTTGGCGTTGTTAAATCTTTTCTGGAATTTTTTTTTTTTTTTACCTTTTTCTATCCGGAAAAGGAAATGGAGGGGAAGGGAGGGAAATAATCGATAATCGTTTGAAATTTTCATTTATCACAAAAATGGTCACTGATAAAAAAAAAGAAGTAGGTGAGGTAGAATTTATCGTTAAATTGACTCGTTTTCTATTAAATCCTGGAATTTCCCCTTTTTTTTTTGGGGGGGGGGGAAATCGGGAAAAATGAGAAGGAAATATATTTAGAAAAAGAAAAAAACATTATTATATTTCAATTTCAGATTAATAATAATAATAAAATAAAAAAATGTTAATTTTTATTATGTTTAAAACGCATGATTTAATTATTAATGACGAAACACGATAAGTTTTTTTTTTTTTTTTTTTTTTTTAACAATAATAAAATAAAATAAAAAAGTCGATATCATTATCAATCGATCGATCGATTGTTTGATTAATTGATCGATACAAGAAAAACCTCAAGTTTTTTTTTTTTTTGCGCGCGCGTGGTAAATTGAGCGAATAAAAAAAAATTTATTTTAATTTAAAAAATAAAAATAAAAAAATATTAAAATCTCGACAAATTTTTTCAGAGTTTATTAAACAAACGACAAACAAACGCGGCGGTTTTTTTTATTACAAAAAAAAAAAAAAATAATAATACAAACGTACAAACTTTCACGCGAACAAACGGACGGATGAAAAACTCAAATGTTATTTACTTTGCGCGTTATTTATTTATTTATTTATTTTTTTTTTGTTTTAGAAAAATCCGTGTACGAATCTCAGTTTTAATATATATATATATATTTAAACCTATTGTCTTATCATTTTCTTATCACGGACGAGTAGTAGTAAAAATAAATTCGGATGGTTTTTATTGGTTGTTTTATTCGGTTCGACGATTATTATTATTATCATTATTATCATTATTTCACGTCCTTTGACGAATTAACATTGATATTTTTTTATTTACGTTTTGTTGTTGTTTGTTTGTTTTTTTTTTTTTTCCTTGTTTTTCACGTTACAACTGTTACGAAGAAGAATAAAAAAAAATTATTATTATTATTATTATTATTATTATTATTATTATTATTATTATTATTACTATTACGATTTTTTGCGGGGGACTTTGTTTTCGTACACGAACGGTAGGTGCCACGTTTATTTTGCAAAAAAAATTTTCTTTTTTAATTTTATTTAATTAAATTTTTGTTTTTTTTTTTTGTTTATTCGACAGACGTTAAAAAAAAATTTTTTGTTTGTTTGTTTGTTTGTTACACGTCAGAAAAGTTTTCAGCCAAGACAAAGAACTTTTAAAAAAAAAAAAAGGAAAGAAGGAAATTAACCTTATCTGTACAATTAATTTTTATTGCTGATTGTAATAATAATAATAATAATTTCCCCGCCCCACCACTACCACCACTTATTGTAAAAAAAAATTTATTCTTTGCGCGTACTAGTGTAAATACCTGAAAAATTTAAATTTTTTCTTTTTTTTTTTTTTTTGTAAATTTACACGAAAAAAAATAGAAAAAGCAGAAAAGTCTGAATTTATTTTAGAATTTTTTGTTTGTCGAAATGTTGAGCATCACGCATGCGCACGTCACAATTCTTCAAGCTGATAACCTTTTAATTAAAGGAAAAAATGGTACGAATAACGCGTTCGTCGTCATTGAACTTGGAAAAGAAATCTATAGGACGTCGGTGAAGGAAAATTCAGGTAGATCCGTCGTTTGGAACGAAGAATGCGAATTGAAAATACCCAAAATTGGTAACAAGGCTTCCATAGTGTTGACGGCACAGCACAGGAATTCGTTTGGATTGGATCAGTTTTTGGGAATGGTTAAAATACCCTTGGATAGTTTCGACAAAACGGAAAAACGCGTCAAGTGGTTCAAACTCGATGGTAAACCGGGTAAGAACAAAGACGATGATAAAACGAGAGGGAAATTGGAAGTTCAAATTGGTTTTTTATCAAAGGGAGGAGGACAATCGATATCGTTGACGTCATTGCCGTCGAAAAAAAAAACCGTCATAGAAAAATTAACGGGTAGTCTGTACGGTTTGACGCACATAGATCAAAAGAAGAATAAAACGATGGGGGTGAGTAAAATAGCGAGGAGTTTGCAAAAAATGGCATTTAAAAAAAAACAGAAACCCGTCGTGGAAGAAGAAGAAGATGAAGCAGAAGATGAATTCGTGGATGGGATTAACGATTCGACTCTTTGCGGAAGTTGTCCACCGACGAGAAAAGCAAACACCCCGAATAATTTAGATCCGGGTGTTATCAGTGAAGACGAAGAAGAAGAAGATGAAGAAAATTCGCAAAAAAGTTTCGATGATGGTTGTTGGGTAAAAAATGGTAAAGTCGTGAGTTGTTCGCCTAAAACGACGCAAAAACTTTACAAGCAGAATCCACAAATATCTATAAGCTTTTGTGACGATGATAGTAATAATAGTAATAATAATAATAATAAAAATAGTAATAAAAAAAATAAAAGTAAAATGAATCAAAGTGCTTCCGTTTGCGACATAAGAACGGAAAGTTTAAAAAATACTTTATCGAGTCAAAAAAGGAAAAAATCACCCAAATTGGGAGAACTCAACGGCGGGGGATTAAGATTATCCGCGAGGAGATTATCCGCGTCGTGCGTGGATTTTCACGATTTTTCAACTCCGGTTTTGGAAAAAAAATTCACGTCACTTTATTTGGATGCGAATTTACAAGTCGACAACGGGTCGAATAAGAAAAAATCAAAATTGGTTAAAAAATTGAAACAATTTCGATCGTTCGATTACTACAGTAAAGAGAGTAAAGAAGTTAGGAGGACCGTCATAGGATGCGAAGCCGGAGACAAAATGGAGGAAATGACGTCATCGCCATCGCCATCGCCATCACCATCATCATCGTTTTATTCTAATAAAAGTGAATTTAAAAATAAAACCAAAGATGAATTAATTAAAATGATTTTAGATTTGCAGAAAAAAGTCAATTGCGTGACGATGAGAGTTAAAGAACTTGAAAATTATCTCGATGGAATATTATCGAAAGTCATGGAAACCGTACCTAAATTATTGGAAAAACAGTAAAATAAAATTCAAAGTTCAATTGTTAAAATTTAATTTAAAAAAATATTTTTGTACAATTTATATGATGAGAAGAAGAACAAATTTGTTTCTTTTTTTTTTTTTTTTCGTTTTAACTTTGTTAATTGCATGTACAAATGATAAATATATGATCCGATGGATCTTATATTTGTATGTGTGTAAATATTATTATTATTATTATGAAAACATAAAAATATAATTGTTTTAAAAATACAAATTTATAAATAAAAAAAAAAAAATTTCAATCTGATAAGTTATTTAAATTATTAATTTTATTATCTGTTCGTTGCCACCATTTGATAATTCGTTAGTTGAAAATGCAAAAGTTGGCAAGCTTGATTGTATCCGATAATGTCGTACCGAAATGTCAAACGTTTGAGTTTAAACAAACCGGCTGATTGTTAATATTATAATTTGATTTATTTATTATTAATTAATTAATATTTAAAAATGTTGCCGGAATCTTCGTTTTTAGGTGATATTTTTCACGAATTATACAGGTATTCAACGGAGAATTTAAAGTGAGTAATTACACTATTTGATCGACCGGTAGTTTATTAAAAAAACATTTTTATTGTTTTACACAGTACAGTGTGTCTGTGTGTGTGTGTTAAATAATTATAAATTAAAATTTTTAGAAATAGGAGCGATTGGGGTAAAAAGAGAAAAAGAAAATGGGAAAATTTTTACAAAAAAAAGAATAAAGATGGTAGCGAAACATCAATCGGACCGCCAGAAGTTAAACTTAATGGGAATCCATCAGAGTTTGCTGTATTTGCTCATGTCAGACAAGCCGTTTTGGAAGCTTGGAGTCATAAAGCGTCGCAAATATATTTGAATTCATCTTCTAGCATTCCAATTTTAGAAAGTGCTTACGAAGGAGAAAGTGATTCTGATGTCACGGAAATTTATCATCCGCAGTTACCTAGAGTACCAAAAGTAATTTTTTTTTTTTTTTGAAATTTTGCCTTATTTTAAAATAGAATTTTTCAATGCATAATCATTTTTTTTTTTTTTTTAAGATTGTCGGAGTTGGTTTAAGATGTGTTTTGGAAATAATCAAAGACAGTAGACAATCTCATCCGGTTTTATGCACTAGAGCTTTGGCAGCACTTTTAGATGTATTGCAAGGACAACAGCCTCAGGGTTTACAAAATGAACCCGCTGAAGTCATAGGTATGTATTGTTAATTATCAAAATTTAAAATCATTTTTAAAAAAGCATAGGAGAATGTTTCATTTTTGTTAATTTTAATTTAATTTTAGATCCCTTGTTCGATTTACTTTTGGATCTAGCCACCTGTTACACTCCAGATTCATCAACGTCAGATGATGGAAATCACCTTACCGCTATTGCTTGTTCCTGTTTGCTCAGTTTAGTAATTGTTAGAGGTTCCACGGGTAAACTATTATCAGCTGCTGCAGCTTTACTCATGTGCCCTAAACAATTAGCCAATCAAAACATTCATCTACCTCTTGTTATGACTGCACTTCAAAGAAGTATTTATGCAGTGTTATTGGGAAAAATTAGCAGGCCAGATTGGTTGACTCATGGAGTGCCGAAAGCATCAAAAATTGATTCTTTTCCAATCAAGAATACAGGTTGAAATTTAATTTTTTTTTTTTTTTGTTAATATTGTGATTGTTTTAAGTTATGTTTCGAATACAGACCTTACACCTTATAAATGACAAACAGGTTTAGGAGTTGTAAGATCGTTAGCTAGTGATGGACAGTATTTGTATCTATATTCATCGAGGGGCCTGTTTAAAATTGGTTCAGGTCATGGTGGAACAATCAAAGGCCACATTTATTATTGTGTTCCTGATTTTTTTCATGATGATAAAGGATGGTTGGGATTTGCTAATGTGAGTAGATGTACTAACATAATGATCGATAGGTAAACATATAACAGGGTAAAAATAGAAATTAAGTATGATGCACATGATTTTAGGGATGGCTGTGGTTAAAAGTAGCTGGGAAAAGAGGCTGTGAATTATTAAGAATTGATCGTAATCCATTTAAAGTGGTCAATACTGTAAGACTGGATACAAGAGACTGGAGCCCTAGTGTTTGGTTTTCAGATGCTGATCAAATAGGAGTTATAACTTCAACAAATGAGGTAGGGATTTACTTATACAATGTACTTTCTTTTCGAAAAAAAAAATTGGTTTTAGAAAATTATTTCAAATGGTTTTTTTTTCCAGGATGGATTTGTTGTGAAAACATTAAATCCTAATGTAAAGCCTGTGACAATCACTAGTGAACTTTCATTAAAATTAGCCAGAAAATGTATTGACGTGATGGGTAGTTCTAGTTTCGATGAAGATTCCGGAAACAAAACTTTAAATTTTGATTTCGACGACGAGATTTTATCAATAGTGTCTGGAAAAGAATTCGGTTTGATTAGGACTACAAGCGGAAAAGTTTGTATTGTTATCGTTTCTGTTAATTTCGAGTAACATATTAATTATACCTGAATTATGAACTTGGCAGGTTTTTTATTCCGGGAAAGCTAGTAGTATTGGAATGAAAAGCGGTGTTTCCAGCGGACGTTGGTCCGAACTCGTTATGCCAAAGGGAGCCAAAGCTCAACATATTTCAGTAGGCCACGAAGGTCTTCATGCTATTATTGTCGCAGAAGACGGAAGTGTATTTTTTTGTGGAACGGCCAGAAGGGGAGAAGATGGAGATTTGAGTATGATTACAGTTGTATGCTCTAATTAATTTACTAGAATTTTCGATTCATTAAACAATTTTTTAAATTGAAATTATTCAGATAAAGCCAGGAGGCAACCAAAAGCGGTGAAACCGAAAAAAATGGTTAAAGTTGAAGATGAGTACATTGTGCACGCGGCAACGAATAATGGAACAACAGCTCTAGTGACTCGCAACGGTCAACTTTTAATGTTTGGAAAAGACACCGTGCATTGCAATTCTTCTACAGGTTTAGTATTTTTTTTCTTAAATTAAAAATTTTAATGCATTTTTATGTATTACAATAAAATTTATTGTTTACTTTGCCTTCAGGAAAAGTTTTGGGTATAGAAAATTTGCATATAACTCAAGTAGCTCTCGGCAAAGCTCATGCTGTCGCGTTGACGTCAAAAGGTATAGTTTATACGTTTGGTATAAATAATAAAGGACAATGCGGAAGAGATTTCGTAACTCAGATTAAAGAAGGTAATTTAAAAAAAAAAAAGAAAAAAACAAATCAAAATTGAATAACACACGAATGGAAACGGAAAAAAATGAGTTTTAAAATTATTTCAGCCATTGCAATGGACACAGTCGTGCAAGAAGAAGAAAAAGAAGATGAAATCGATTGGGAAGATGCACAAAATATTATGTGTCTTCCTGGAAAACATCAATGGAGACATGATTTGTGTATGGTTTGCACCGTGTGCAAAGAGTGCACTGGATATAGTATTTCTTGCCTTAGTTCTATCAGACCACAACGAAATCCTGGGCAGTAAGTTTGAAAAAAAAAAAAAAAAATTATTTCTTTGCTCGTAAACCTAAAAAAAAACTTCATTATAAGAAGTTATGACTAAATAAAAACTAATAATTCTGGCTGGCTAACAATTTTTGCTTATTGTATGTTGTATCTTTTATAATAATTGGAAAATTAACAGGGAATGCGGGTGTGGTGAAGGTGATTCTGGGTGTTCCATATGTGGCTGTTGTAGAGTATGTGCAAAAGAATATGTTGACAATTCCGATCTTGCCGTCTTAGGGCCGTCGGGATTAGGAGATTCATCTGGGATGATGCGTTTAGATCTTATTTTCAGTGGCGATAGCCAGGGTTAGTTTTTCTCATGTTACGTGGAAACTCGATGAATCAAATAACTTTTTTTTTTTTTTTTTTTTTTTTTTTTAATTTTTAGTATTTCGACTAAAATTATTATTTATGCCGAAATATTTTTTCTCTTTTTTTTTTTGGGGTTTATCGTACAGTTTTGTAAAAAAAAATTAGTTTTTAATTATTGTTATTACTAAAACAGTAATTTTTTTAAATGCACTGTGATTTTTTTTTTATTTAAAATATTAAAAATTTATTAGGTACTAGGCACAACAACAGGCTTCAAGAACATTTACAAAAAAGATTGGAAGAAAGAAAGCAACGACAAGGCCGAAAAACTTCGTCCAAACATAATTGCAGTTTAAAAATAAAAAGTTCCGGGTCGCGGCCAAGTGTAAGTTCATCAAAATCAGGTTCATCGATACCCATATTCAAAACTCCGGCTCCCATAAAATTTTCAAATTTAATAAGTAAGTGAAAAATTTTTTAAAATGAAAATTATGTAGCACAAAAAAAAAAAAATTGTAAAATTACATGATGTGCGTTTAAATTTAGATGAGGAAGTAGCTGGTGGAAGTGATTTAGAAAGGGACACGAGTAGGGTCACATCTTTACCTCCGGCTCCTATCGCTTTACCTTACACTTGTCCGGTTACACAAATTGCATGTGGACTTCATCATAGCATTGTTCTGACTCAAAGTGGTGAAGTTTACACTTTCGGTAGCAATATATACGGTCAACTGGGTATCGGTGACGTATTACTCCGCGGAGGACCAGTAAGTGTAAGATTGCCTTGTCCCGCTCAATCAGTTGCCGCAGGAAGTAATCACACAATTATTTTAACAGTAAAAGGAGAAGTTTACACATTTGGAAGTCATCAGGTTCAATTAATATTTGATTACTGTTTATTCAAATTGAATGCATACATAAAAGTAATTTTATTAATTCCTTCTTTTTTTTATTCCAGAAAGGTCAATTGGGAAGAAAAAGCTTTAAGGGTCATAATGATCCATCTACTAGTACCACTTTCGGTCGAAAAAACAATTGTTATGCGAGACACGAAACTCCTTGGTACGCGATTCCCGGTCCCGTGCCTGGTATAGGTCCTAATTCTGGTCGTAGAGCAACTTGGATCGGAGCAGCAGGAGATCAAACGTTTATTAAAGTTGATGAAAGCTTAATAAATTCATTAAGTTTAGAACAGTCAACAATAACGGGAAACAAATCTTGTATACGTAAGTTTTAGAAGGTTTCGTATTGAAAACGTTTTTTTTTTTTTTCTTAATTTAATTTAATATTTTTTTTTTTTAGTGTTAGTTCCCAAATGTGAAAACAATACTTTTCAATCTCTTGCCATTAGCAGACGAGATGGTAATTGTGCAGTTTTTTCCGACGCCGGTCAGGCACATTTGATCGGTTCTCCAGTTTGCCTTGATCCTCTATACAACGTTCTATGGAGGTGAATTTTATATTCGAATGTTTGACACATGAAACCTTATTTTTTTTTAATGTTAAATAAAACCTTTCGTTACGACGATGCTTCAAATTTCAGCTATCAACAAAGCACGAACCTTATTTCTTGTTATAACATCATAGCTTCAGAAGCAAAAGGCTTAGAAGCATTATCTCATTCGATGTTCGATCCGGATTTGGTTCTTCCCATCACACCGGGTTGTTTAGTCAAGAGATCTCAAGCCGCACTTCACCTCCTTGGTGCTTTAGACACTTTGGCTCAAGCTCAACATTTTAAACTCGAAGTCGGATCGGAAATTTTAGAAAAACAAATGGGAACAACGAAAGCTTACACTCTGCAAGATTTTTCGGCTGTTAATAGATTCGAAAGTAAGTTTTAACTTTAAAAAAAAAAAAATGGCAAGAAAGTGAATTGTTTTTATTTCGAATTTGTTTTTTTTTTTAGGTCACGGTGGAGGCTGGGGTTATTCGGGTCATTCAGTTGAAGCGATTCGATTTATGGCCGATGCTGATATAATTTTAGGAGGTTTTGGATTATTTGGCGGTCGCGGTGAATACACGGCTAAAATTAAAGTAAAATATAATACTCGGCAATTTCGAGTATCGTGCTTTTAGCTTTCTAATTTAATTTTTTTTTTTTTTTTTTGTATACCAGCTCTTGGATATTGGTGTTGATGGAGGAGAACAAGAATCTGATGGTGAAGTTATCGCTGAAACCGATGACATTCCCTACGAATGCGGTCCCCGGCAAAAATACCCAATGTTATTCGAAGAACCCCTTCTCTTGCAAGGTAATAGATGGTACATTGCGTGGGCGAGAATTTCTGGACCGTCCAGCGATTGCGGATCTAACGGACAGGCCGTGATCGTAACGGAAGATCAGTAAGTTTCATCTATTTGTTAATATTGAAATATCCATTAGTACTTAATACTCATAAAAGAAATTTTTTTTTTGATGTGTTTAGAATTTCATTTTACTTTAAATCGTCGAAAAAGTCTAATAATGGAACGGACGTAAATGCGGGGCAAATCCCTCAATTACTTTATAAAGTTATTACACAAGAAACAAAAGCTCCTCCACGTCAAATTGATCTCTCAGAACCGGTTTTTGTTTTGAGCAAAGAATTTTCCTCGACGGTAACTAGTGTAAGTGAGAAAATTTAAGGTTCAAAAGTTTAGTGCATGACTTATGATTTTAAAAAAAAATTAATCTATACGTTTTTTTCTTTCGGTTAGGAATGTTTTAAATCTCTTTTGGCCTTACTACACTGGGGATGGAAAGCTTTAAAATCGGGATACCTTGATCTAAACGGGTCTATATCGACAATGTCAACCCATGCCGAACACGAAAGGTTAACAAGATTGGTTTACATAAATCGAGCCAGCTTAAGGTTAATTCATTTATTCACCATTGAAATTTATCCGGATCAAAGTATGTGAAATTCTTTTCGAAATTCGATTCGGTTCGGTTCCGCGAAAAAACAATTTCAAACTAAAATATTTTTAAAAATAGTTTTTAGTAAGAAAACAGTTAGCGAATCAGTAAGGCTCGCGGAAAGCATCGGAGACGTTAGAGCATTGCTGCAGAAGATACTTTCTGATAAACCCATAAATGGAGCACATAAAGAATTAACGGATGCCGTTTTAGAAGAATGTCACAAAACGTTGGTTTCGATATTTCACGCTTTGTATCCCACTCCTTTTTTAAAATGGACGTGTCTCTGCGATTTGTTGTCCAAAACCGATAAGGTAAGTTTATTTTTATTTTTTTTAAACGATTGATTGACAATTCTTTTCGCGAAAGAAAACTTTTTCTGACGGAATTTTATTTCAGACCGGATTTTACTACACTCAACACGACAAACTGTTGAGTGCAGTACTGGAGGCTTTGTGCTGCCCGACTGTTCGTTTACGTTCCGCATTGCCAATTTTAACGAATAGTTTAGATCCTTCCATGAGACAATTAAGTCCCAGCGATAATTCTGGTTTTACCGTATCCGGAACCGATCACCATTATCCACTTCTCGTCGAACAAATGTCTTATCGTACTCAGCTCGAGAAGAACGGTGAAACAATCGTGAATTGGAGTTGGAAAGAAGTTTTAGACAAACTTTTAGATCTCTGTATACTTCCACCAAAAAGAGATCTAATGCAAAAACATTCAAATTTATCAAAAGAATTAGTTAAAAATTGTTGCAATTTGCTGGCTCGTGTCGTGGCTGAGTTGGCTTCTCAATCTTGCGGCTCTGATGTGAGTTTTCGACATTGTAAAATTTATCGCGTGTATCGTTTTAAAAGAAAAAATTATTTATGTTATAAAATTAAAAACTTGCAGGAAGACATACAAGGATCATGTGGAAGAGTTTTGCATGCTACTCCATCGAGATTTATGAGAACTAATCAAACGAGAACTTGGAATACCGGCAACGGTTCACCCGATGCAATATGTTTCTCGGTTGACAAACCTGGAGTTGTTATTGCCGGTGCATGTGTTTATGGCGGAATGGGTGTTTTAGAATATGAACTGGAATTACTTGATGACGTAAATTTTTTTTTTTTTTTTTACATAGATTTATTAAGTACCTATCGTAAAAAAAAAAAGAAAAAAAATTATTTTGCTTTTCCAGCAAAGCAATTCGGCATGCGGAGATCCTTCTCCAGCTCAAAGATGGACAACTCTGGAAGTTATAAAGGGAACGTTCGGGCCGGATGATTGCGTGTCCGACATTGCCGAACTGAAATTCGCTAAGCCGGTTCCAATAAAAGAAAATGTAAAATATGCAATAAGGTTGAGAAATCAGGGTGGGAGAACGTCAAACGGTGACGGAGGATTAAACACTGTCAAGGGGCCCGATGGAATTACTTTTTCTTTTTCGACTTGTTCGTTAAGTTTTAACGGCACCACTCAAACGAGGGGCCAAATACCTCAAATTTTGTATTATAGGTAAGCGCAAGAAAAAATTATTACTTAAAAAAATATAATTTTAAATATGTATTATATGTTTTGTACGTATTATTGTGTTAAGCAATCCACAAGATGGAAGTTTTCAACACACTGCAAAAGCAATAGCAGAACAACAAGCTAGAAAAAGTACTTTGTCAATGACCACTGCCATTTTTAATAGATGTTCAACTTTACTTAGTATGGCTAGAGAAAAAGCAGAAGATTTAAATGTTATTAAAATATTAGGGAATGCGTGTGCAATAACTACCTTATTACCTTTGGTGTTGGCTCACGTCGGTCCTCTAGGAACGAGTAAGAGGTTTTTTTTAATGACGTCACAAAAAAATTTCAATTTTTTTTTTTTATTGTTTTCTTATTTCGATTTCTTTTATACATATATCAGGTGATCCGAGAAGCGCTGTACAAATTATCAATTTGGTACAAGATCTTCTTCCCCACGTGTCAGCTTTAAACCTCTTGGGAAATAATTCTGATGATTTACCAAAGTCAACGACGTCAAATCATTATGCTTGGGTGGAAAGCGATCATCCGTACAAACCCGCTTCCGTGTCAAACTACAGGTAATTTGTTGTCCAACAAACGGAAAATTTTAAAGTTTGTTTTTACAAGCGTTACGAAATGATAAAATGATAAAATTTTTTCAGGGTATTGTTTCCCGAAAGCGTTAAATGGATGGTCGTGGAATTTTCCCCGAGATGTGGAACGGCTCAAGTCGAAGATTTGTTAAAGTTGTACATACCCTCAGCAATTAAAGAAATATGGGACAGGCAATATGAGGACTTTGAAAACGATTCCATGACGCCTTTGACGTACTGGAAAGTTTTTCGAACGCTTCGTGGTGGAACCACGTGGCCTCAAGATGCTGTGGTTTTACCAGGTTTGTAAACCTGTCGTATCGAATGAAATCGTTGTCGAAAAATATAACTGATTTTTTTTTTCTTTTTTTCTCATCGCTAGGAAACGAAGTAATTTTTTCATTGGAAACAGCTTCGGATTATGTTAAAAATGAAAAAGCTTGCAATTACGGTTTCCGATGTTTGGTCGTCGGTTACGAATGGGATTCTTCGCACGGTAACGGTTTAAAGCAAATTGAATCGGAATTGTCATTCACGGCTGGAATGTGTGCGGCATCTCTTATTAAAAAGGATCTCCAGTTGCCGCTTTTAACCGGTAAATTTTTTAACCATTCAAGTGTCGATTCGAAACATAACAAAAAATTTATATTATATATATATATATATATATTTTTTTTTTCGAACGAAACAGTCGAAGAAGCAGAAGAGGATACAGATTTAGCCGAGGAGGCTGTTATGATGGTGGCAAACGAACATTCGTCGCTTTTGGTACGAGGATTGGCACTCGCACAAACACCAACAATATTTCAGGCTCTCGACGGAAGTCTTCCGTTTAGGTAAGTCTTTTTTAAAATTTTTATAAAAAGGGAAAAAAAAAAAAAAAAATTTTTTTTCTTTTCAACTCGTCAAATCAATTTTTTATTTTATTTAATTTTTACAAAAATTCAAAACAAAACAAATTGCAATATTAACTTTTCATAAAAAAAAACAAAAATTCACGACCCAATCAGTTAATAATTGCTGACCTACGTTATAAAAAAAACAAAACGAGATTGATGATGAGGACTTTTTGTTTTTTTTTTTTTTTTTTTTGGTAACTAAAACAATAACAGACGACGACGACGACGACGACTAACAAAAAAAATAAATCTACGCACCTGACTAGCATTCTACTCGCTTATTCTTATTAATGACAAACATTTAAAAATAAAAAGAAAGAAGAAGAAAAAGGAAAAGCCTTTAAACGGCTATTCTAAGGGATGTTTGTTGAGGGGCGGTGGGGCCGGTGGGAGGGGGGAGAAAACAAAAGGAAAAGAATAGGAAAAATTTAATAAAAAGAAAAGAAAAGAAAAGAAAATTTTTTTTCCCTTTGTTTTTTTTTTTGCATGGATTTTCGCACACGGATAATTAGTAACAAAAAAAAAAAAAATTAGTATTTAATTAGTTCGTCTAGAAGAAGGAGAAAAAAACGCGTTAATGAAAACGTTTTCGTAGCAGAAGCCATATTATTTCTCACGTTTGTTTTTTTTTTTTTTTTTACGTTGTAAAGTTTTTAAAAATCGAGTTTTAACCTTTTAGTTAAAACGATTCTAATTTTATTAACATCCTCTAGACGAGCTAGCTAATTTAATTATTGGAAAGAATTATCATTATTATTATTATTATTATTATCATTATCATTCGGTTTTTTTTTTTTTCTCGGCGGGATTTTTTATTTATTTATTATTATTATTGCTTAAGGTACGATTATAAATATTATTTGTTTAACTCACGGAAACAAACGGTGGGTGCCGTTGTTATTTTCGAATGAGTAATTAAAACAAACAACGGCAATCGTAATAATAATAATGATAATGATAATGATAATATTATTGTAAATTATTCCGTCTGGTTTTTTCACGGTTGATTTGAGAGACGTTCGGTGTTGGAAATATGGCAAATTTCAATTTGATTTTTCGAATTTTAAATGTGATTAATTCAAGTGATGCGATCGTTTTGACAAACCGCGTTCCTCCTCATACCATACCACCACCATCATCATCATCATCATCATCATCGTGATATACCCACGGAAATTATATGCAAACTCTTTTTCCCTTTCCCCCCTCCCCTCCCCCCCAGGGTTCATTTTGATATCTCCTCCGCGATTGACTCTTTTCGTGACTTTCTCTCTCTCTCTCTTTCTCTCTTGTTTGCTCTACGTTTGCTTTCTTTTTTTGTCTCTCTCTCTCTCTCTCTGTTACCCCCTTGTATCTCGTAACCGATTGTTATTTTAATTTTTCCTTTTTTTTTTTTTTTTTTTTTTTTGGAAATGAAAAAGGTTGGATCGTTTAAGGGGGAGGAAAAAAAAAATCGCATTCATTCGCATATAAAACAAGGTCGTTGTCGTTATTATTATTATTATTAGGGCCAATCAAAATTAAATGAAAGCATCACGTTCGTTCGGACGTTCGGATATTTTCATTTAACATGTTAATAATCAATATTATTATTAGATATGGAAATTATTTTTCGAAACCAATTTTGTTTTTTCATAATTGAATAGTCGGTCGGTAGGACGAAGGATAAGGAAAAACTCTCTCTCTCTCTCTCTCTCTCTCTTTGTCCTGTTTTGTTTGAACCTTTGTGATGTTTTCCGAACGGATTTTTTTTCTTATTTTACTTTTTATATTAAATTTATTTGAGTTCTGCGATACCTGACTGGTTTGTTGTCGTCGTTGTTTTTTTTTTATTGCTTTCGAATTTGCAAAACCCTAAAAAAAAAAAAAAAAAAAAGTTTTCGTCGTGTTTTTGGCACGAACGAAATTATTATTATTAATTATTATTATTATTATTATTATTAGTATTTTTCACGTAATGGTTGACCAGGTGCAAAATATCGTTTATTTATCGAGTATCGATTTGGCGTGCGTTTAAAAGTTTTTTTTTTTTTTTTTTGTTTCTTTTCGACTAAAAATTGTATCGGAATTATTTTTTAAAAAAAAAGTAGGGGGAAGGAGGGAGGAGGAGAGTTTTTGTGAGAAAATTTAATTTTTTCTCATTAGAGATTTGAGAGAAAATTTTTACCCATTGTTTAAGACTTTTTTTTTTTTATTTTTTATTTTTTATTTCTTTCGTCAAATGGAGAAAGCCTGTCGTATCGTCTGGTTTTTTTAAACAATCGACCTTTGTAGAGAGCACGAAGCCTAATAAAATAAAATAAAGAGTGAAAAAAAAAAAAGAAAAAAGCTTTATTGTTTTAAAAAGGAAAAAAAAAAAAACAACGACGACGACGACGACGACGACGACGACGACGACGATGACGATGACGATGACGTCCCTCGAATTCTATTTCGAAAAGAAAAAAAAATCCGTTGACGATAATTGCATGAGGTCGTTAATTTGAATAACTGACGGTTAAGGACGTAAAAAAAAATTTGAAGGAAATTTTTCAAGAGAAAAACGAACGAACGAACGAACGAACGCGCGGGTAAAACGCATGCGCACAAAACTTAAAATTTATCGTTTATTAATTATTGCAAATTGAGATTTGCCCTATAAGAGCTGCTAATACATTAAAGAAAGAAAGAAATAATGATAATGATAATAATAATAATAATGATGATGATGATGATGATGTGGCTTAGCAATAGTTTGTCGATTCGTTACGTGTTTTCCCCGTTTGAAAAATTTGAAATGATTTAATAATAATTGATTGTGATTAAAGACGACATGAGTTTACAAAAATTTATTCCGTCGTAGAAAAAAAAATATTTTTGTGGGGCGCCCCCCTTTGTTTTTTTTTCCGTTTCTATGTCGAGAGTTCGTACACGCGCACGCACAAACGTAATAAATACATACCCCCTCCCCCGACGAAAAAATTTTAATGAGTAAAAAGTATTTTCGTTTTTTTATTACAACGTAAGAGTAAAAGAAGAAAAGAAAAGGGAAGGGAAAAAAAGGGAAAAATCGCACTGGCGTTAGTCGCGGGGGTGCGGGGGGGGATGCTGTACGTTCGAGATTTAGCTTAAAGTTTATACCATTAATTTATTTGAGTACGAGATCTGTCACGCACAACTGTGTAAGAAACGCATTCTTCATCCAGTGGCTCTGCTTTTTCAACAATTATGTGAAATTCCGTTTCCTTATACGTTCTACCGTCGGGAACGATAATGGCTTTGGTAGGTTCCGATGATTTTCCTCCCTCTCCCCCACGTTTCTTCTTCCCTTTTTTCTTCGCCGTCACTTTCATTTGCCTGTGATCTTTGTTTTGAGCGGCGTTCGCGCGACTCGACGACGGTACGGGTTTCCATTTTTTTTTCCTTTTCAAACAGCACACGATGATTGCGATTGTGAGAACGAGAACGACGGCCGTCGTCGTTATTATTATGACGAAAAAATATATGCTCGAAGTTAATTTCGTGCAGTGATCCTTGTAAAACTCACGTCCGGACACGTACTCAACATTTCCGTCTCTCGAGTCGTCCAAATGACACCATATGGGCTCCAATTCGGAGTCGACGGATAAATCGATGGATTTTCTTCCGAACGTTACGATTTCCGTCCAGAGAACGAGAGCGTCGCACGTGCAGGGTTCGTCTATCATGAGCCGACCTATGTTCACGTCGAAAACGGTTCGGTTGACGTAGAGGGATTTACCCTCCAAGTTGGTCACGGTTTGATTTAAAAATTTAAATTTTTGTTTACCGTTTTGTAAAATCACATATTTATCCACGGACACACCACGGAACGCTTCGTTGTCTATCGTGTTCAAAACGTTGCTGTCCATCACAACTTCACCCTTCGTGATGACTTTGAAAGCTTCGTCGTGAAGTTTATTGATCATCGAATTGATGAGTAGAAATTTTTTCGGATTGTGGATTTTAAATCCCGACGTGCGAACGGTTTCTATGTACGTGGATTCGATTTTGAAGAGTATGTCGACGGCGACGTCGGCGACAAACCTACTCGGTATCTCGTCGAAATGACTGTTTACGAAAATAAAAGTGTTCACCGGGAATTTTTTAAATGTTTGAGCTTCGACGTTCGCGACGGTGGTTCCGTCGAATATGACGCGATCGGCTTCGTGTATGCTTGAAAATGCGAAAGCTCGCGTCACGCCGACGGAACAGTTTTCGATAATGACGGAATTGACGTTTCCCGAAAAGGCGAAACTCGGAATGTCCGGTATCGTGGAATTTTTAATGTGTATCTTTCTCGGGGGTCCATCCGACGTGAAAATCCTTCCCTCGATAATCACTTCCGCGATGTTTACGAGTTCGAGATTGTGAAGTCCTTTGACGTTTTGAAAAGCTCCCTTCGTCACCGTGACTTTTCCGCAGTTTTCAATGAGTATGGAAGTCGTGTCTGGTGATACCGAACAAGATCCTATCGATTTGAGTATGATTTCTTCGTCTGCAACCTAAAAACAGAGAGAGAGAGAGAAAGAGAGACAGAAAAGTTGTTAGAAAAAATGGTTACGAAACAATGCAAATAATGACTAAAACGTATTGGATTAGATAAGATAAGGAGGAGAGAACGTTTGAATTTTTTTTTTTTTTTGTATTATTTGGCTTCAAGGTGTCACACACTCGAACGCACGGTGTTGAATAATTTGAGAGCAACGTGGTGCGTTCGCCAAAAGTTACATTATTTATATATTATATTCAAACGACCATAACGAAAACAACACGGTAATTATTATTATTATTATCGACGACAATATTTATGCATTTTTTGTGGGGGGTGGGGGTGAAAGGAAGGTGGGGGGAGGGAAAAAAAAACGAAAAATTCAATAGCAAAAGTTGACCGCATTTAATTTTGCCTCGAACTCCGGTCAATCCGGCCGCAAATCACATGGTCGTATATCATACTTTTTCTCTCTCTCTTTCTCTTTTTCTTTCCCTCTCTCTCTCTCTCTATCTCTCTCTTACTTTCTCTTCCTCTTTTTCTTGAAATTTATATTTAATGGAGATAGAGTATCGGATTTTGCAAGGTAAAAAAAAAAAAAAGGCATTTTCGAAATAAAATTTTGTTGTTAATGATTTGCTCGGTTGTTCTTTTCATTCTAAAAAAGTTGATGATGAATGATGGACAAAAGAAGTAGTAGAAGCAGAAGAAAAAGAAGTTTTCGTAAGCTTAACATTAAAAAAAAAAGAAAGAAAGAAAGAAAGAAAGAAAATGAATTTAAAAGAAATTTCGAAGAACGAATTGTTAAAATTTTTAATAACTTAAAAATAGATTTTTTTTGTAATTTTGAGTTTTATCTGTTCGGTTAGGAAAAACGGTTGTTGTTGTTTAAAAGCAGACTACACGGGCAAAAGTCAGTGTGCTCCCACCACTACCATAAAAAAAAAAAAAATCGTAAATCTGGACGGACGAACGGACGAACGAACGAACGGACCGGACCGCTCGACCAACAGGAAAAGAAAAAGTCTTTTTTTTGAGGGGGGAGATGGGATGGGGAGGGGGTGAGGTGGGGGAGTAAATAAATCAAAAAAGTTTTTGCTTTGGCAGGTTTTTATATAACTTTTTTGTTTCGTTGGGTTTAGTTTATCATATTATTATTTACTTGATTTTTTTTTAAACGATTGGAATTTTTTTTGTAATCGTATCAATCGTGCGAGAGTTTGATTCTGGAAAACGGGGGAGGCTGGGGAGGCTAGGGGAGGGGGGAGGTAGTTGTGACGAATAAATGTTTTTATTATTTGTTATTACAAGTTATTCCCTCCGCCATATAAACTCTATTTTTTTTTTCTCTCTCTCTCTCTCTCTCTCTCGTTCGGTTAATTAATTTAAGTTTATGCTTTCGCGAAACGAAATTTAATTTCTGGAAAAACTCTGGAGAGAACAAAAAAAAAAAAAAAATTCCATTATTACAAATTTAATAATAATAATGATAATATAAACGAACGTTTTGAAAGAGACGGGAAAGGAAAAAAAACAAAAAAAATTTTTTTTTTTTTTTTTTTTTTTTTTTTCCCCCCCAACAACGTTTTTACATATACATATGTGCGTGTGTGTGTGTGTGCGTGTGTGTATATGTTTTTAATATTTTTTTTTTCTTTTCCGGAAATCCCAAAATGGAGATTTAAGGTATTAAGGGGGGGGGGGAAAGAAAAAAAACGCATAAAATAAATATAACCGACCATTAAATGGAGTTAAAAAAAAAAATAAAAAAAAAAAACGCGCGGAATTTACATTCGAATGTTTTTTATATATAAATATTGAACAACGGGATTCGATAAATATTCTAGAAAAAAAATTATTATCATTATTATTATTATCATTATCATTATTATTATTTTTTCCGCGATGGAAAACCGTGAAAATTTGACACGGTCGTTTTTTACGCATTTTTGTTTGGTGTAATGATGGCGCTAAATTTAATTTTCCCTTTTTTTTTTTTTTTTACTTTTTTACTTTTTAACTTTTTCACTTTTTTCTTTTTCTGTAAACGGGGAAAAAGGAGGAGGGAAAGAAAGGGGAAGAGGAGGGAAGTAGGGGGAGTAGGGGGTTTAATTATTTTAAAAAAGGAAAACCTTACGGAAAAGTTTTAGTCTGGAGAAATGACCCCGCGTCAAAATAATAAATTTAACTTTCATACGATTTTATTTTATTTTACTTTTTTTACCGCGCGTCAGCTTGCAGCTTCTCTCGGTTTCTTTACTTTTCTTTTTTTTTTTTTTTTTTTTTGCCTCCCACCCCCCACCCTCTCTCTTTCTCTCTCTTTTCCTTTTTTTCATTCTCTCTTTCTGTTTGTCGAGTCGTGAGGATGAGTGAGGGAAACGTCGCGGGAGAGAGAGAGAGAGAAAGAGAAAAGATTAAAAAAATTTTTTTTTTCTTTTTTTTATTTTCTTTAATCCCACGGGAGAAATTGATTTGCACGTGGATAAGAAAAGGGAGGAGATTTGCAAAAAAAAAAAAAAAAAAAATCGGAGATATTACGAGTTGTTTTTATTATTATTATCATTATTATCATTATTACTACTGCTGCTGCTTCCTCCGCGAGTTTATTGCTTTTGTAATTGCGTCGCGGCGTTTATACGGTCCCCGAATGATTACGCGCGTCCTAAGTAATAATAATAATAATAATAATAATTAATTGTTGCGATTTTTCTTTTTTTTTTTTTCGTATATTTCCCAAACGTGTAATTAGTTAAATTGTTATTTGAACGTCTGAACGACGAACGCCTTTTTCGTAAGTTTAATGACCCCGCTAATTAAATTGATAAGAAATTGATTGATTTTTTTGCAAATGTTTTCCTTCTTTTCTTTTCTTTCTTTCGAATTCGATTCGATTTATGCGGGAACGTTAAATGGGAATTTATTTATGAAAAAACAATTGAATATGAATTTAAATTTATTTTCGATATGAATGATTGATTGATTGATTGATTGGATGAATGAATGAATGAATTAATTAATTAAAAGGGGGTTTTACGGTTAAAAGTTAAAATGAATTTTTTCATTTTGTCGTGGAAATGGAGAATGAGAAAAAAACACCGCGAATAGCGCGAATTTCCAACGTTTTCTCATCCTGGAAAATTGAGAATCCTGGAAAAAAAAAATTTTTTTTTTTCGCTTTTCCGTTCGCAATGAAGAGTGATTCTTCTTCTTTTTCTTCATATTTTCAATAAAATTTTCAAAAAATTATCTTTTTCCTATATTTATCCTCTCGCGTTCGTTTGTTCGTTCGTTTGTTTTTTCAAATCCCTTCTCTCTCTCTCTCTCTCTCTCTCACTCTTGCACTCTCTCATCCCTTTCAATTTTTTTTTTTAGTGTCTCTTTCCACGACACACGCATACGAAAAAAAAAAAAAAAAAAACTGTAATGCAATGTTGATATTCAAAGCTCTTTTCAAAAAAAAAAAAAAAAAATTTTTTTATTTTTTATTTTCAAAATAAAGTCATTTGTATTTTAAGTTACGCTCCAAAAATTCCTCGCATTAATTTGCAAAGTTGAAATCTCTGAAGTTTGATTGGAAAGTAAAAAAAAAAAAAAAAATGGTTGTAAAAACTGCTGGAGAATTATATTGTACGTGTACGCATTTTTGTTTTTTATATGGGAAATTCCCCGGTGTGATAAAAATGATTTTTGTTTTGTTTTGTTTTTCTTTCTTCGTTTTTTTTTTTTTTTTTTTTTTTCCGGTTACCTGAGCTTTAAAACATCAACATTTGAAAATTTCTTTCACGGAATCCATTTAAAGAAATTTTATGCTTTTATGTCGAGCGTACTAAACGAGAAAGAGAGAGAGATAGATAGAGAAGAGGAAGGTGGGGGGGAGAGAGAGAGAGAGAGGGAGGAAGGGAGAAGGAAAACGTGTCAGGAACTGGTAAAAAAAAAAAAAAAAAAAAATTTTTTTTTTTTTTTTGTTAAAATAAGACTTTCGTTCGAAAAGGCTAAATAATATCTCGATATATTATTTTTCAAGTGTTTTCTCTCTCTCTCTCTCTCACTCTTTCTCTCTCCCTAATCGAAGAGAAGGAGAAATATATATTGGTCGTTATAAAGGCGAAAAAAAATAATAAAAGGAAAGGGATGAGGGGGTTAGGAGTAGGAGGACGGAAGGGGGGGGGAATTTTTTGCCATTTTTTAAATGTGGAAAAGGAAACAAAAAAAAAAAAAAAGAAAATTTTTTTTTTTCCGTCTTCTTCTTCTTTACGTGTCCTTTCTCTTCCCGAGTGAATAATGATAATAATGATGATAATTTTTAATGAAATTATTAAATAAATAGGGCTTGAAAAAAAATTATTTGTCTTTCTCTATCTCTATCTCTCTCTTTCTCTCTGGTAAAAATAAAACGAAAAAAAAAAAAGGAAAATTAAAGAAAAGCAAAAATTATTATTATTATTATTATTATTATTATTGTTATTTCGTTGGGGAAAAAAAGCTTTTAAAATGTTCGGGTATTAATTATCATCGTACCTGTACTGTGTATTATTATTATTATTATTATTTTCATTAATTTTTTTTTTTTAAAAGAAATTTATTTCGCGTGAAAAGAAACTAAAAGAAAAAGGGAAAAGGAAAAAAATTACGGTTGGAAAAAGTTTTTTTTTTTTTTTTTTTTTTTTTTTTTTAAATTAAGTTTCGCAAAGGGGGGGATGGATGGGGATCCCTTAATAAATGTGGCGCGTAAGGAAGTCTCGGGGTTATTTTTACACGTTAAATATATTGGATTTTGTATGGGAGCGGGGGGGGCGGGATGCGGGAAGCGGGAAAACGAAAGATTCGAAATAATAATGAAAAACTCTCGAATTGTTTTTAATAATAATAATAATAATTGTTTTTTTTTTTTTTTTTTTTATTAGCAACAGGTCGAATTGAGTTTCGGTTTTCGTTTTGAAAAGTTTTTTCCTTCCTACAGGAGGAAGGAAAAATAAAAAAAAGGATTTTTTTTTTTAATTTTCTTCGTCGATTTCAAATTGAGGTTAACTTATCATTCGAATCTCTTGATTATTACTATTATTATTATTATTATTATTTCCACGACAATTTTATTGATTATTGACGAGAGAGAGAGAGAGAGAGAGAGAGAGAGAGAAAGACGAGATTTTTTTTTTTTTATGCGTTATCAAGTGTGTCGTTAGCATTCGTTCGTTCGTTCGTTCGTTCGTTCGTTTATTTTCGTTTTTTGATCACAAGAAGGCAAATGAAAAATGTTTTTAAAAAAAATACCTACCTCGGCCGTACAGGTACATTTCATTTGACCGAAAGGATCGCGACATGAACAAAATTCTAAATCGCATAGGTTTTCGTATTCGGTCACCCCGCGTTCCGCCGACATTTTCGTACATAACGAAACGGATTCGATTGTTCGAACGAGGAATAAACTTCCGATAACGACGATTAGAGTCCAGCAAAATGTGGATGATTTGATTTTTTTCATTTTCCGGGATCACCGGGAACGTTAAAAAAAAATAATTCTCCGCCTCCTCCTCCCACTCCTCCTTCTTCTTTTATTTTTCCGGACTTCAGTAATTCGGTTCATATCACATAATTGATGGCGAAAGGCGGCGGCGGTGGCGGCGGTGGCGTCATACACCCGGCGCTAACATAGCCTGGAAAAATATTAAGAGAAAAAAAAAACAATTTTTTTTTAACGTTTGTTTTATAGAGGGAGAGGGAGGAAGGAGAGCGAGAGACGCGAGGGATATCATCGGGAAAGTAAAGGGAAGGGGGGGGAGAGAGAGAGAAAAAAGTCATTATACGTGTTTGTTACGTGCGTGCGTGCGTGTCTGTTTGTGTGCGTGGGTGGGTGAGAATTTTATTTTTCAAATTCGAAAAGAAAGTATTTATTTGTTTAAATGGAGTCTTCAAGGCAATGACACCTTAGTTTAAATTATAAATGAACGAACGTTCGATTGATATTTTAAACTTAGTTGAATAATCACGGTTTAGATGTTACAAAAAAAAAAAAAAAGTTTGGGGAGAAAGAAAGAGAGAAAAAAAAATCATAAAAATCGTTGAAAGAGAGAGAGAGAGGGGAGAAAGAGAGAGAGAGAGAGGGGAAAAAGAGAGAGAAAGATTCGAGATATTGGTTTTATATAAATCGAATCGGTTATCTGGATTTAATTTTTAAGCTTTTTGCAAGTTTTTTTTTTTTTTTCCTTTTTTTTTTTTTTTCTTCCGTGAAAACGTTTAAGTGAGGAGAAAAAACGTATAATAAGGTAGGATAAGGTACGGTGAGAGGGGGGAGGAGGAGTAGGAGTAGGAAAAGGGTGTTTGCGATGAATTTTTAATAATAAAAAGATGATTTAATGCTTGGAATTTTCTAGAAAATTTTCCAACTCTCTCATTCCATCGTTTCTTCTTCTATACTTTTCCTGCGACTTTTTTTTTTTTTTTTTTTTTTTTTTTTTTTTTTAAAACTAAAAAATTGAAAAAAATGTAACCTAACCCCGTTACTTTCGGAAGGGGGGAGGGAGGAGGGAAAAAGGGGGGGAGGGAAAAACGGAAGTCTCATATGCCTTTTTTTAAAAGTAAATGTCGGGCATCGAAACATCGGGATTCCATTTTGAATTCTAATCAAAAAAAAACGGAGGAATTTTTACTTTAACAAAAAAGGTTTCGGGGAAAAAGGTTTTTGACGGACGAAAACGCTAATAGAACGGTTTCCCCTCCCTCCTCCCCACCTCCCCTCTCATCCCCAGATAATTTCGAACCGAATAAAAATGAGAGAGAGAGAGAGAGAGAAAAAAAAAAGAGCAGACGAAATTCGAATAATGGATTTTCATCTCCAAATGCAAATGGACCGAATCCATTTGTATGCATTTAGTGTGACACACACTCTCTCCGTTTCAAAACAAAAACGAATTAAATCACGACTCTATGAAGAGAAGTGGTTAGAAAATGAATAAAGAGGGTGAGGAGAATGAAAAAGAGGAAATAAAGAGAGAGAGATAGATAGAGAAAGAAAAAGAGAGAGAGAGAGAGAGAGAGAAAGACAAGATGAAAGAGCAAATAGGTTCAATAAACATGAAAGCTCGTGTCAAAGAAAGGAGCGTGTATGTGTCGTCTATTAAATTTTTCCAAAATCATTTATTGATTCAAGAGTTGCCATTTCCATTCCCATTGGCCTTGGGTACCACTTAAGTATTGTTTGTCCAAGACTTTAAAAACTAATAATAATAATAATAATAATAATGATAATGATAATAATAATAATAATAATAATAATAATAATAATAATGATAATAATGATAATGATGATAATAATGATAAAAGAAAAAAAGTCAAACACCGAGTTGTTTTTTGTGTGTGACCTTATTTTTTATTTTTTTTTTCTCTTCTGGTTGGAGTATTTCTTTTTTATTTATTCTTTTTTTTGACTCCGTTTACGAGACATCTGCTCCGGCAACAAGAGAGAGAGAGAGAGAGAGAAAAATATATATATATAATTTTTTTTGTTTTTATTTTTCCATTTTTTTTCTTTCTTTTCTTTTTCTCCATTCTCTTTCTCTTTCTCTTTCTGTTGCCACGGATCGTGAATTCGCTTTTCATAAAGTTCATTTTTCCTTTCCTCCAGGATGCTTAAAACGTCGCATCTTTTAGAAAGATTAATATTTTCGAAGAAAGAAAGGGTATAGAGGAAGGGATAAAGAGGGGAAAAAAAAAACCGGAAATCCTTTTCCTCCTCCTCCTCTCCTCCTATCCGACTTGTGACATTGTTTTTGATGTGCAATAATGAAAATACGTGAGAAAAATTTTTTTCCCTTTTTTTTCTCCTCTCTCTCTCTCTCTCTCTCTCTCTTGTACTCCCTCGGTCGAACTTTTGCTCTTTTTTTGTTTTTTTCACGTTGCGAAAATATTTACACGTTTTTAAAAATGGAAACTCGCGCGTGGGAGGCAGCGGTTTTCCCTGTGTGTGTGTTGTGCCTGTATAAAAACTCGTTAGAAAAAATTTTTCAGGGTCAATTTATTTCACAAATTGTCGTTTGTTCGTTTGTTTGTTTGTTTTTGTTTGTTCCGCGTCATGTTACCGCCGATGATGACGAAGTTTCTCGGTTTGGTTTTTTTTTAACAAAAAAAAAGTTAAAGAAAAGTTTTTTCGTGAAAAAGTTGATGACGACGACGACGACGCCTCGATCACCTGTTACTTAAACGAAAAATCGATTTTTAATGGTATTTTTATCATATCGTAAAATAATGATAATTGAAAATAAAGACAAACGACAGCAGAAGACACAAACGACAGTGCAGTGAAAAAGTAAGAAAATGAGGAAATTCTCGAGTGCACGCGATTCGAAAAAAAAAAAAAAAAATTGCGAAACGATTATAGAGGCTGCTGGCCGTAATTCTAAAATTATACGTTACTTCATAATCGATGTTTTTTGTAGTTGGTTCATCTGCCAAAATTAATGAAAATATTTATTTAATTGAACTTGATTGCGATTTGATTTTTCGTTTTTTTTTTGCGTCGGTCAAAACGGGAAAAGAAAGAAATAGGGAAAGGGGGAAAAAGAGGGAAAGAAAGGAGGAAGACAATGGGATAAACAAAAAAAAAAAGGTTTATCAAATTTTCCGTTTGTCGGTAATTTATAATTTTTTACATCATCGTACGTCTCTCTCTCTCTCTCGCGGCGAAAACGTGTAAGGAGAATTTTTTTTTATTATTATTATTAATGCAAAAAAAAAAAAAAAGCATCACACGCACAATTTCACATATTACCCCGGGTGGAATTTTGTTAGTAGTAATAGTGGTAGTAGTTGTAGTAGCAGAAGAAGAAGCAGAAGACGCGTTAATAAAACCGCTTACTTTTTTTTTTTTTTTAAAAACTCCTTTTATTTTATTTTTTATTATTTATTCACTTCACGCGACGAAAAAGAAAAAAATGAAGAAAATCGTGAGTCGAACTCGTCGTCGTCGAACCGAACACACAACCGAACACGAATTGATGATAACTTATCACGATCGTTTCATTTTCTTCTATCTTCATCTCATCGTTTCTCTCTCTCTCTCTCTCTCTCTTTCTCGTGCGTAGAAATTTTTTTTTAGAGAAAAACGAATCGATTTAATAATAAAAAAAAAAAAAAAAAAAAAAAAATCAAGAAGCGAGTAAATTAATTTTTTTAAAACCGCGAAATTTTTTTTTTTATACGTTTTTAAACTCCGCGTGATAATAATAACAACAACGTGAGAGAAAAATTGTCAACAACGGACAAAACCGCGGGTCGAACACGACGATGACGACGACGACGACGACGACGACGGCGACTACGACATCGACTACGCGCACAACAACCGAATTCTCTCGTTCATGTGTTTCGCGTTTTAGTTTCGAGCCGAATCGGTTCGTAACGTAACTGACTCGAACGTTTTCCCTATTATCATTATTATTCAATTTGTTATTTACTCTGATTCGAAGGTGTGCATGTGATTTAGAAAATGTGCGTCGTGCGGTTTAAATATTATTATTATTATTATTATTATTATTATTAGGTGCGTGTGTGAGTGCGTTCGATTGAGTTGTTCGTGTGCGTGAGTGAGTGAGTGAGTGCGCTCGCGCGCGTTCGTTTTTAGTGGGGAGTCAGGTTGTTGTAATTATTAATTTTTTTTCCTCCTCTCTCTCTCTCTCTCACTCTCTTCCTTCCCCCCCCTCTCTCTCTCTCTCTCGACGCTATCGCTCCTTATATCGTTATCAGTTTTTTTTTTCGTTTTTTTTTTTTTTTCCCTAGTTTAAATATGATAGTGTGTGTGCGTGTGTGCGTGATAGAGATGAAATGAGAGAATATGTTTTGCGAGGAAGAGAAGAAAAATAATATATTAATGATGATGATAAGAATGTTAAACTTTTATAAAAAAAAAAAATTTTCCCTTCGGTGTTTTTCCCATGAACCGAGTTATTTATTATTATTATTATTATTATTATTATTATTATTAAATTTCTTTTCTGTTGGGTTGTAGTATTTATTTTTCTTATTTTTTTTTTTTTTTGATTGATGAATCGAATTGAAAAATTGTGGTAGAAGAAAAATCGTCGATGTTAGGTACTTACTGTTGCAAATATTTTATTTACCATTTTAATTATTATTATTATTTTTTTAATTATGTACGATATTCTTCATGTTTGTGTGTTTGTTTCGTCACAACAGCCAAAACGGATGGGGGGGGGGCGGGTGTTTTGATAATGACGCGTTTTTTTAAAAAGTTTTGCTGAAGTTTTGGAATTGTCCTGGTGACGTCACTGATTTCCACGTGACGTACCCACACAACCTTTTACGGGTGATTTTATTACAATTGATGTTTGTTTGTCTGAATGTTTTAAATAAAACATGATGACCCGATTTGAGAGAGTTTTTGAAAGAGGAGAGAGTTAAGAAGGATACATGCGTCCTCGTGTTTTTGTTCTCTGCAGGGTAGGTAGGAAAAAGGATGAGTTTGAGGTA